TTGGAGATATCCGGATCAAATGCCTGAGTGAACACCGGAGTTGTCATCGGTATCTTCTCCCCTGCCGAATTCTTTCCAAATATGTACCTTAAAATAAATATACTTATTAGATTATCCGATTAGGTAAAGAAATACTAAAAGAGGCACAAAGCCGGACCAGGTTGAAATTCTCACCCAGCAACTGAATTGAAACCGCGAGAACCAGACAGCTTGTCCCCATCTGTTTCAACGACAATAAAAGGCTCATACTTTCTCACCTGCAGTTACGTGCAGCATCCAGTCAATATATGTATGCTAGATGGCCAAGCAAGGATCATAATTCTCACAAAAAGCAAGAACACATTCTCCAATTAAAATTTTTATGCAACCAATCAAATCTATAATTCAAGAACAGGATATATCCCCCAACCAATCTGGAAATGATATTTCTAGGACTTATACGCAAACTTATCTCAAACGATACAAAGCATCATACATAGGCTAACATCAAATATGGAATAATATTTGATTTTCGTAAAATATTAAATAATGCAAGAACATTAATGAGAAAAAGAACATTGCAACCTCATAATTTGCAGTTCTTTTCAGTATTTGATATTTTGGTGTTTCCATCTCTGGAGTCTTGTAAATCCGCAGCTGCAAAAATTGAGTTTTCAAAATATAGAGGACAAGTGAAACTGCAGAAAAAAGGAATTTTCTAAAGCAATATAATATATACTGTACCTGCTTTACCACGTCTAGTAGTCCCTCCACAGAAAAGTACTCATTGTTCTCTATAGAATCCCAGTAATCCTATAAGTGAAATCAATGCAGTAAATGACTGGTCATGTTAATATCACAATTCTAAATGTAACATTTGGGGGGATAACGGCGTACCACATGACTGCAGAATTTCTTAGTTTCTGGATTGATTCCCATAACAGAAGTACCTGTGAAGACTAATTCAGGTTTCCAAGGGAGAAGAATGAACTTCATCACCATAGTCCACCTTGTAGTAATTTCATAAGGTCCTGTCTATAGGAACTCAATCAATATATTGCCGACTAATATTTAATCTTCCCTACCAAACATTTCATATCAGTTTAACAAGTTTATATATAAGGTACATGAAAAATAGTACTAGTTATTTTGCTAAACGTCCATACATTTCCAACCTTAAGTGCTAACTTAAGAATCGGAGTACCTACACTGGATGAACCCTCATCGGTTTTAACTTGCATTTGTTTTGCAAAAATACAAGATAATCGAAATTGAAGGAAGGACTGCAACTATTTTGTACAAGATCAAACAACAACAATGTTTAACATTCCCTTAAAATACTAAGAACAGAGGACGACTAAAAATTCAAAAGGGGCAGCTTTAGGTAGAACGATAAATTTTCGCAATAAGTTACAAAAAATAAAAATGATGATTCACAGTAGGAAAGAAAAGTAGCTGAAACTAAAATGACAATTAAAAATAGAACATCTAATTGAAGCTTGTGATTATTTATTTTCACCATTTTACACTGTCTTTTCCTTGCCAATTAAGACAAGATATTAAAGGATAAAATATATTCCCTTCCTAAATGCTTAAGCTTCCTTACATTTATTCCTTTCTGGTATGACAATTATCCATTTTTTACTAGAAACAAACACAATACATATAACAGCTAAAAATTCACACCTGTTTAGCCCAATGCAACTGAAAATCGGGGGCGAAGAGCTTCCTCAACATGGAAATATTAAAAAGGTAGCCACTTATGCTATCATGTTTCGTGATGGGGTCTCTAAACTTGACCAGTTCGTCATAAGCAGTACGATCAATCCCCTGATCATCAAAGAGGTGTGGAAGATCCTCGTACAAGAAATCCACCAATTTCTTCACGTCAA